TATATAAGTAATCTGCTGTTCAAGAAGTGTATGATTAGAGGAACGCTGTGAGCCCTGACGCTGTGGGACACTTTCTTTTCTATCTGAATCTGAGAGAATTTTCTTTCTGCAATGTGACGTCGGAGTAACAGAGTTTCATGCGACTTCGGTCAAAGTCGGTTTGGGTTCATCTTCCCTCTGTTGCATATTTACAGTCACAACTTCATCTTGGAGAAACGCTCAGCGCCACACACACAGGAAGTAATCCTCCCTTCAGGGTTCGTTGGTGCGTGAGGTGAGCGCCGCTTCGTCCACCTGCGCTGAGCTGCAGGAAATGAGTCCAGTGAAGCGCCTCCTTGTGGAGCTGCAGGTCTGAGTGTCATCGTATCAACGGCCTCACTTCCTCCTGCACTTGAGCACGTGCATGTTTGCATGTTAATCTTTGGGTGCAGAAGTTTCAGGGTTGAACTGAACAAGTCAGAAGGTGAACGAAGGAATCAGGAGGAGAAACAGATAAATGATATTCATCAGGTTCATCTGCCTCCTCCTCCTCTTCTCCTCCTCTACTCCTCCTCTTATCGACTCTGTCTAATAACATCCTTTCTTGCTGGATGTTGAACCCAGTCCTCCCGTGTGTATCCCCTTGTTATTATTGTCCCCTCCTCCTCTCACAAAGCTCCATCGCAGACTAACGTCTCATTTCTGCCTCCTCGTTCCTCCTCTTCTCCTCCTCCTCCTCCTCCTCTAAGTGGGGAAATCATTCTTTGCAGTAACCATTAATTAAACGTGTTTGATTCCTGTAATCAATCACGTCTCCTCATTAGTCTGTCTGTCCGTCCCCGGTCTGGTGTGTCTGGTGTCCAGAGGATGAATGTGTCACTGAGGCTCCTGTGATTCATTTATGTAATAAACTTAGTCTGATTCTATTCTAACAAGTTGTTTTGAGTCAAACACAGTTTCCTCTTCGTTAGTGTGGTTTGTCGTGTGATGGGAGCAGAGAGAAGCAATCAGACACTGGTCAGACCAATGACTTTCTGTCATGTCCTCCAGGTCCTGTGCAGCTGAAGCATTGTCACGGGTCGATTCCCCAGAACTCACGACACGGTGTCGTCTACGTGTTTCCTCCTGTCACAGATAAACACCAGAGAGAAATCTGCACGTCTCTCCCTGGACGGCAGACGGGTACGTTCAGTGGGGACGGCCGGGTTGTGGCTCGATGATTGAACCGTCGGTGGGAGTTAAACAGTGTTTACACCTGGCTACAGCGGACAGGATGTTTGTTGTCATGGTTACAATAATAAGGTTACGGTCATGTTTCACACACGATCACGTCTCCTGTGTGTCGTCCACTCATCCATCTTCTCCAGGCTTTGTTCCCGTCATCGACACCAATAAAAAGAAAGTTGCAGTTATTTTACAGGAGAACAGTTTGATCGCTGCAGCTTCCTGTTCCATGACTGAGCTCGTCGATCACAGCTCGGGGTCGGACCCCCCGTTATGTTCATGATCCGGAATAGATTCAGAGATAATGAAAGAAATCCAAACTGCTGCTGCACTTTTCTTTGTCCTGACTCAACTGTCAGTGAATATTGGTTTAATGTCAGTAATGATCCTACGTTACTTTATAAAAACACATTTACACATGGTTCGATTTCAATCTGAGCAACGTGCAGAGATCAGATGATCAAGTTTAAATAGGAACCATCCTGCATCTGTTAAGATTCAACCAGGAGAGTCTGGAGACAAACTCAGATTCAGACATTTGAATCGATGCTGCTGCATGTTTCCTGCTTCACAACATGTTTCCTGTATCTATCACAATATGCTCATATATTATTATGAGTCATGTTTTAGGCTGAGCTCTTTAATGAGCGAGCACAGTGCTGTATCAATCTGCTGCAGCCATGTGAAGCTTCTTTTTCATTCTGTTTCTCCCTTCATTAGCAGAGTGCCAGCTGAGGACACACACTGTCCTTCACATGCACACCAGTCAGGCCTCGTGCACGCTGCCCGAGCACAGTGCTCCACTGTCGGCCGCTGAGCTGCTCCACTCCAGAAGTTGGCAGAGGAGCTGTTGGATGACAGGGTCGTGAAGATTGTTGCTTTGCCTTTCGACTAGTTTGGCTGTTTCCACCGTTTCAGTCCTGCTCTACTGAACTCTCACACACACACATATATATACATACATATATACATATATATATATGTATATATATATATGTATATACACAAATGAAGACACATTGAACAACAAAGAGAAAAATCACAGCACTAGTACAGGACTGGACAGAATACTGGAGTCATAGCTGAATCTGCTGTACGAGAGGAAACAGCTCGAGCTTTTGTTTTCAGTTGTTCACGAGGCCGAGGGCGACGAGGTCAAAGGTCACTGTGACACATGTGGTAGATGCTAACGAGCCTGCAGCTGCACATTCCCTCATATCTGACACAAAGAAAATAGAGAGGACAGGTCACAACCCCCCGGAGGTCAAAGGTCATTCTGTGGCAGGAATAGTACCGTGAGTTTGTCACATGCGTCATCATCAAAGATTACAATAATAATGATCGACATCTTTTCTCAGCTCAGAGATTCTATGATGCATTTACTGGACGAAGCTGCAGGACGACAACCTTTGACCTTTGGAGCGGACCAATCAGAGCCGAGACCCTGAGGCTACGTTCGTACGTTCCAAACAATGTCCGAGCAGCATTTTAGATCCGTATCAGACCCAAACACATCACATGAACTCTCGTGCACGTCACACATGGCTGACTCCGCTACGCTATGTGGCGCTGTAGCCCTTTCAAGGTGGTTGTAGAGCCACTCCCGGTTGACCCACACGTCACAGCAACAACAAACTAAGATGGCGTACCGGGTCTCCTCGTCCGTCCAGAAGTGAGTTGTTGATTTCGTCGAAGCCATGGTGTCATTTGACCTTTTCCGGAAACAACACTACTATTTATTACCAGAGCCGTCTCCTTCCACTTCCGGGTAAAGGCCCCGGCAGATTCTCAAGCATGCGCAGAATGCAAAATTTAATTTAGCTACGATGGCTGAGCGTAAATGGCGTTAGACCGCCGACAATGAACGACTCATCCAGGTGTCCTTTTCCGATTTTGAGATGTCCTTTATGGAACGTGGAACTCCACTGAGTGACTTTCATGACGGTTTGATATTCCTGAGTATTTGTGAAATTGACCCTGATGACTGAGCAACAGCAAAGATCAGGTTTCATCAGGATTAATAAGAATTATGGTCTGGACGGACGTCTCGTCTGCTTCTGTGAGCGCTGGACGTTTGATGTGAGAGGACGGACAGAGCTCATCAGCAGCTTCACTGTGATCCAGGAACCATCAGAGGCTGTTGACAGATCTTTTCTGGACCAAAGTGTTTGATGGATAAAAAAAACCTCAGTGAAAAATCAGTTTTCTGTCACTTCAGAGAAAAACAATCTGGAGGAGCTGGTGTTCAGAGCGGAAACACCCTCAGGGCCGGAACAACGACGGGAGGAAATTGCTTTGACCTTTTATATCTCACAACTACTTCGATACCTGCGAGGCAGGAACTCCAGAAAGAATCTGAAAAGGTCAGAAACTCAGTTATTCATTATTAACGTTGTGTCCTTCAGGGACACGTTCTGTCCCCCCCACAGACGATGCTGAAGTGTGTGTTAGCGGCTCAGCTGTAGATTATTTAATGTAGCAGGTTTGATGCTTGTGAAAATGGGGGACAACAGCCAGAGACCAAGCAGTTGTCTTCAGCTTTTTATTCTCAAGACATTCAACCAACTCAAGTCAAAGTGGACATGATTCTGCTGGAGGGACAACTCATGTGTCTCATGTCTCTAATGTGTCTTAATGTCTCTCATGTGTCTCATGTTTCTAATGTGTCTTCATGTCTCCTCATGTGTCTCTCATGTCTCTAATGTGTCTTAATGTCTCTCATGTGTCCTCATGTGTCTCATGTTTCTAATGTGTCCTCATGTCTCTCATGTATCTCACATGTCTCCTCATGTCCTTCATGTCTCTCATGTGTCTCATGTTTCTAATGTGTCCTCATGTCTCATGTCTCCTCATGTGTGCTCATGTCCTTCATGTCCTTCATGTCTCCTCATGTGTCTCATGTTTCTATGTGTCCTCATGTGTCAGTTCAATCATGTCTTGTCTGTATTTAAACGTCCCAGAGTTCATTAGTCAACATGAGCACAATGTTTGATGTAAATGCAGCAGAGTGTCTCATGTCTCTAATGTCTCCTCATGTGTCTCATGTGTCTCATGTCTCTCAAGTCTTAGTGTCAGTTGATGTCAAGGACAACAGACCAACAGATCACTGACAACTCTCTGCTCTGCACCAACACGGAGCAGATCCATGAATCTTCTGACTGAAAACACTCAAGCAGGAGTGACACACGACCATCAATCATTTATTTCATATGCAGAGAAAATACACAATTTAAAATTCAAGCTCAGACAACAAGCGAGTGTAGTAGTTTCAGTCTGCGGACAATACGACACGTTTATGCAGCTACAGCCAGAGTCATGTGATCCAGTCACCTGACCACGTCCATCACACACGTTCAAATCCCACGAGAAGCAGCGTCACGATCACATTGAAACAGATATAATCACTTTTTATGCATCAAGCTGATTTCCATTAGAAGAAGAGACAAAGGTCAAAGGTCTCATGAACGGTTTCACGACTCCGCAGCGATCAGAACGCAGCGCACAGAAAATACAAAGAATGTACAAAGATACCTGCAGAGCAAAGTAAATGATCTTACAACACGTTCTCTTCTGATATCGTTATATTCACAACATGTACATCGTATGCTTTCAGTTTGGATGAACAGATTCTTTATTCGACATTCATGTGGTCTGTAAAATGTAAACGGATGAAGGGAATCTCCCTGCGTTTGGATGCACAGGCAACAAGTTTACATCGTCTTCATTTCTACAGCGAGAACAAGAGACTTTTATACTTTTACATGTATTCAAACAGGATGTCTGTACAAAGCTGGATGACACGAGGAGTTCACCCTCCTGGAGTTCTCTTTAAGTTCTGTGCTACAAAAAACACCAAACAGTTATAGAAAATATCCTTTCACATTTGAACGGTGACACTTAAGCACAACGAGCATCACAGCTGCGTTATAAGACGTTTTCTATCGTCTCCATACACATCGATGTTGAAGCCAGTGTCCTTGATGCTTCAGCCATTTTTCCTACATCTGCCAGGTTGTACAAAAGACGAGCAGTATTCATAAAGTTGTCTCAGGACAGGAGGGAAACACTCACTGAGCAAAGTTAGTACTCACGTCAATGTTCAAAGAGTTAAAGGATCCCGTCACTGAACACTAATCTGAGGTGAGTCCAGTGTTCTCTCCACAGATCATCAGGTTTTTATGGTGCTCATGACGTGGAAACTTAAATCTGGTGAAATGAGTTTGTAGAGTTTGACGGCCCCTCAAAGCACAGGTGTTGTTGCTATGGTTACCATTAGTAAAATGCACTATGAACGCTGAGTGGTGTTTTTACCTCATTGACATAGTTTATTAACAGCTAATGTATAAATCAGTTTGTTTAATCTGTGTCAGATTGAATCAGGGGGAATATTATTCATAATATAAATCTGAGTTCTGCCGAGAGTCTCTCTGACTGAAAATCTGTAGTTTGTGTTTAACTCGTTAAATTCTGCTGTGGAGTTTTAACACGTCAGAAAATCATTGATTCATCTTGATTAAAACAATAAAGAGACAGATTTCATATTTACAAAGGTCTCGTGAACGTACATATTTTTGAGTAGCACGGTGAACAGAGAAAATACTACGTGATCCAGGAGCACGTGATTGAAGAGCGAGTGTAGTGAGTGATTGTCAGTGAGCGTTTCCAGCCGACACATTAGTGGCTGCTCTCAATGAAAAGATCAATTTACTGTTGTGGTCACAGTTTAAAGTCTGAAGATCACTTTTGTCCCTGGGTTACTGGAGTGATCACATTTTAATAGGCCACAGAAGAAAAGGGCTCCAATTATGATGTGAGGGATAATTAACTGTGACTTATTATTTCATTCCAATTATCAGGAAGAGGAGCTCTGTCAAAAATAACATTTCAGTGTCATCGCTTTTTAAAAATGTCCAATAAAACACAAGAGGATTAATCTGACACTTCAGCAAGTGTGGTGTTAATAGAAGAAAGGCTCAGAGAGAGAGAGATTCAAACTACAACGTGATCCTCTGTCCTGATGATTTCTTTATGAATGCACTTCTGGACCAATATCAACAAACAGCGAAGCACCAGTAGAAACTAGAACACGTTTTAAATCCAGCCAGAGAGCGACTTCACTTCATATTTAAGGCAAATGTACGTTCAGAGAATTGTTCCTCTCAAACAAAAGAAGAAAATGAAAAGAAGGATTTTCACAAATACAAATATTAGTTTGTAAAAAGAAGAAGAAACACATCAACAGTTCAAATCATGTGGAATCAACTTGTTCTCCAGAAAATAATTCAAAGTACAGAGAGTTTAACCAAGAGAACGAATAAAACAACAAGAAGAGACACAATAAAAAATTTAAGGGAAACCGACCCTGACCTCACGTTACCATCTGGACAGTTTGACCATTAACCGCTGAATCAAACTCAACAAACACGTTTAGATTGTTTCCTGAAGATTTGATCACATGAAGAAAGTCGTGACATGAAGAAGCAGTTTGTCAAAGTGATGTAACGTGACCACAGTTCTCGTCTTCACCATCTCGACCAGAGAAAACTGTGACGGAGGACAAACAGGTTGTTCAGATCTGATTTAAGATGATTTAATCTTATTTGTTCCGTCACTTGAGTCGACGGACTTCAACCGATGATGTCATCGTCCACAGAGTAACACTGAGGTGGGTCAGGGCAGATTTCCCGGGTAAGACACTGAGAAGAGAGAGAGCCCCTTTGTCCCTTTGGAGCGAGGTCGAGCACCGTGACCCCGCCTCCTGCTTCACCTCCGAGGTGCTGGGAGTCAACTGAGCTCCTGTGTAACCCCCCCCCCCCCCCCCCCCATGGAAAAAAAAAACAACTCAACTCAGAGTTCACCCCAAACCAACCAGAACCAGAACCAGAACCTGACTCAGACCCTGACTCAGACCCTGACTCAGAACCTGACTCAGAACCTGACACAGACCCTGACTCAGACCCTGACACAGAACCTGACTCAGAACCTGACA